ACTGATTCTCCAAATCAGCACTGAATCTTCAGATTCAGCTCAATCAAATCGGGACGGTGATCCAAATCAACTAATTGAATCACTGTCCCCAATTCGGGTCGAATCCAAATTGAAAATGGCCTATTTCGCACACCCTAAGAAAAGATCATCAGACCTAACTTTCAGGGTAACAAAAAGGGTAATTTTCAAGATTTTTGCATTCTTTCATATAGAATTAAAAAAATCTCTGTGCTTATCCAATTGTTTTGAGAAGTCTGAAATTCAGTGATTAATGAAAAAATAGTTTTAGTATATATTTCTGAGTTTAGTTAGTGAAAGGTATGTCTGCTTTTTTTGTAATTTTGCTGGGTCACATTCTAATTTCTTTGCTCAAGGTTCCATGCTGCCTGATACAGAATATTTTAACATGGTGAAGCAGCAGCACCCAGTTTTTTATTTAACAAAGGTGGAAATGAAATAGTCTTCCCTGGTTTTACTCGCCAGGAAGCAACATGTTCAAAACTACATACGCAACTTACTGTGACCTGCAATCTCATTGGTGACCTCAGTATTGTCCAAAAAACAAACACCCCCAAAACAAACAAAAAACACTTGGGCAATTTTGATCAGTCCACCTCCAAAGAGAATTAAACTGAGCTGCACAAAGGTATGCAGAGTATAGGGTAAAAATATCCACACAGGGGAAGAAGTACAGAATAGTTAGTGCACTCTAAATTCACACCTTCGTTCCATACTAGCTTTCCCTCACAGGCAAGACTCCTATGAATTCATCAACAGAAGCTGGATACCTGGATCATTGCTGCTGCACACAAGCACTTAGTCTCAGTGGTTGCTACATGTGAAAAAGACACTCTATGCATGGTGAAAATTCTGAGCTTTTCTTTGTTGTCATTTGTAAATGCAAAATCTTGAAGGAGTAATGTTTGTGTTACCTGTGTGCTTGATTTTTAAGGTTTAAGGCTCCTGTCTGATGCAACTCTTCCAGCTGTTTTCTGTTTCCAAAGTACAGGGCAAGATCTGTAGCAATGATGGCTTTGCGGATGATCTCCAGAACCTGCTCGTACTCACTGGAGCTCAGAGTGGAGAAGACATTGTGCCCTTCCAGCTATGAAAAAGTAAAAAACCAATAAAAAGCACAAGCTCTAATTCTGAGATGATTCCAGTCTTTTCTTATCAAACAGGTTACAACAGTTTTATAGCCCAATGAAGACTGTGGTATTGTACCAATTATAACAGAAAATGGACTTTTGTATTCCCTGTTTTAAATACTGGTATGGAATTGCTGAAAGCACAAATCAGTCACGGGATCTTAAGCATCAGCACATTTTAAATGCTGACTCTCCTAATACAGTTTGTTTATTTCTTGCTTGATGTGAGTAGAATCAGGCAGTGCCTCACATAAATACCACTTCTACCCACAGAAAAAGTTAGGCCTCCAAATATTTATAGATACCTAACTCTGGGAATGGTCACAGGGCTTCATTTTCAAAAATATGACCAGACCCTGTGAAGTACTGGGGACCTCCCCCATTATGCTTAGTTGCATAGACAGCACTTCTCAGGATAATTTATTTCCCTCTTCCTCTACTTGTGTCACTTTCGAAAGGGTCTGTGTCCTTCTGAGAAAGCTTTTTCTGAAGTCCACAGGTGTTACTAGGGAGGAAACACAAAAATCTTTCCTCCTCCCTCCCTCTCCATTATCTGTATGTGTTACCTACATGGCACCTCCACCTGCTAATGGCCTGGGAATTTGCGATTCAACCCTAATTCAGAGAGTGTCACTATCAAGGTAGCAAACTGGCTTTTTCCCCAGTGAAGAGAACAGACATGTTTTATTAGTGCATAGTGAATGCATTAATAATTAAAATGGATTAGGGAACATCTAGTTACAGTACTATACTTATTGTGAGTCGATTGTAGAGCACTAAATGAAATGTACTTGCAGTAGCTGCATAAACAGATACAATATCCTTTTTAGAAATGAAGTTAATTACAACACATTTGCATATGTGAACTCTTCAGAAAAAGACACCTTTTTAAAGGTGTTGCTTTATTCACGCAGTAAAGATAATAATGCCTCCTGTTATGGAGACTCTGCCAACAGCCCTTTCTATTATTTGCTATTTTTAGACTACATATAACAGACAATATACAGAGATCCTTGGTAAAGCTACACCACAGTTTTGGCAGCACTACCTGCTGTCTCTGTTTTTGGAAAAACTTAATCAAGGGTCTAAAGCCCAGAGAGGGAAAGAAAAAAAATTAAAAGAATAAGCCAACCAAGTCAAGGTGCCTGCATTCACAAACAGAAACATTACTAAAAATGCATCAAGGCTGGGTTTGTTTTAACATTTAATTGGCACTTGTGCAGAAACTGACCAAGTCTGTCCAACTTTTGTCAACCAATTATGTAAGAATAAATTGTTCAAAAACAAATCCCCACTAATATAAAGAGGCTTGTCTTTTTCTGTCATCAGGAATGTAAAATTTAATGTACAACATTTCTGCCAGGATAAATAGATTGATTATGAATACTGGAATTAAAATATAATCTATTTGTCTCTCAACACTTCTTTGACAGTATTCTACGTCAGGGCACTGTATGTTTCACACCAACATTTTAACCCATTGTCACAGAATGACAAGCAGTAGACCTCCTAGTGTGGATGGTTTGCATTTTTTCCTACTCCTGCCATACAATTGCCAAGAATATGTATCCAGGTCCTTCCTATTATATCTGTGTAGCAGTACTGCCCCACAAGGGATGGAGGTGCCACTTCTAGTGTCTTGCAAGCTACAATTCAAGGGGCAACAACAGTACTAGATGGATGTGTGACAGCTTCTGTGTACACTATTCAGAGGTTATCTAGTTCCTGTAAGTTATGCACTGCTGGAAGCTACTGAATGCTATGTAAAGTGCTTGTCTAACTGAAGAGAGGATGTTATTCCTTCCATCATGAGCTAAAATTAATAACTGTAATTCTCTATAGTTAAATAAATGAAACATGGCATGGATCTAGATTTAAAATGGATGGAACAAGCTGCTATGAAGTTCTAAAGAAGTGTAAATATCCAGAAATAATACCTACCAGGCCAGACCTTATAACTCTCCTGCTTGTAATCTAGGACTGTGGGGAAGGTCTTAATCCTGGAGCCATTCGGTCTCCAGTGTAAAACAGAATAAACTAAATGTTGTTCTTTGACACTGACTGCAAATAACATCCAGACCCCATTCAGGAAGCAAGTACTTGAATCTGTGCAGAAGCATTCTCCACATGTCCTTTTTACTGGCTACATGCCACTATTACATCTAACCACCAACCTAGAAACAGCAATGCTGAGTGCGTCTACACAAGACGCTACATTGCTGTAGCAACACGTTATGGCAGAGTAGCTCGTTGCTATGGTGACATAGCATTGGCAGGCACAAATTGTGACACCGACGCTATGATGTTGTAGTGACGTGCTACTTCATTACAGTGTGTCGCTACGGCAACAGAGCTGCTAAAAATAACCATGTGCTGTCATGTAGTACTTCCTAAAGCAGCGGAGGGCAAAGTCTGGCCCGCAGACCAGATCCAGCCAGCAGTGGACCCCATTTCCCAGCAGCCCCTGCCTGTGTGGCTGGGGCCGGTTTACACGGAGACCCCAGCAGCAGCTGTACTGTGATAGCTCAGGCCCAGGATTTCTGGAGACAGGCCCCAGTAGCACTGGCAGGCAACAGAGACTCCAGCCTCTTCCTGGTGGCTGGGATTTGTGTTGTGAGCAGGAGTGGGGCGGGCAGCGGCAGCAGTACTGCTGGAAGGCGTGGCTATGAGGGCTACAGGGATTTTTGGGGTGGCTATAGCCCCACCAAACCTCCAGCACTACCCCTGCTGGCAGGGTACACAGCAGGGCAGGAAGCTGCTCTGGAGCTAGGCTGGGATCTTGCATGGTGACAGCATGGTCCAAAGCCAGGGCAAAGCCAGCAGCCTGCACACCCCAGGCAAGGGCATGCTTCAGAACACGTTGTCACCGCTGCAAGGAGCCAGGGCACAGCCACGAGCTGCTGCCTGCACGTTTCTGCCCAGGGCATGCAGGCTGCAGATGGCAGCTCTGCCCTGGCTCTGGACCACGCTGTCAGTGCCAGAAGATCCCAGCCTGGCTCCGGAGTAGCTCCATGCTCTGCCGTGTGCCCTGCCAGCACTGCTGGGGCCAGTCTCCATGGAAATCCTGGCCTCGCCCTATCACAGCATGGCTGCTGCTGGGGTCTCCATGGAAATTGGCCCCAGCCACGCAGGCACGGGCTGCTGGGAAATGGAGTCCAGCCACCAGCCCACCCCATCCTAAATCAAGTACTAAATAACAACCACACCATGCGGGGCACGTGTATATGCACCCACTGACTCCCCAGGATACTACCAGAACAGCCATTACTGTCTGGTTTAAATTTGCTTTGCGCTTCTAGAGTGGCACAAAAACGTCTCGATAGGTCTGAGGATCCTGTTCACCATGTACAAGCTCCTTTGAACAATGAATACTAAAAATTAAATGCCATGTCTACACTCAAGGACTCATTTATATGTAAATGAGCGAACATGCAGAGTTCCAGCCTCTCGGGTGAAACATATGCTCTTCCTAAAATAATCTCAAGAGACAGTTTTGACCATGATACAGATTATGTGTGTATTTACTAACTCCTGATAAACTATTTAAGAAAATAAGTACCTTCCCCCTGAAAGACCAGAAAGAAAGACATATTAATAATGAATTAGACACACAGCTGAATGAGAAGGAAGTATACAGGGAATGTGCACAGAAACAAAAATAGTGAGCACAAAAGAAATAAATTATTGACCAGCAACCATTTTCTCTACTACTAATTTGATGTGATTTTTGACTAAAGACAAAATACCTGTGTTGTCACTATAATTAAGCTTCCTGAAAAGGGTTAGCACACTGTCTGATGGTTTGTATTAATTAGACATATAGAGATATTACTTTACGTAATGGGCCTACTGGCACACAACATTAAATAAATAAAACATTAACAATAACTGAAGAACAGCAAGCATAGAAAAACTATAAGGCTCTTTTCTTTGCATGCCAAAAATATTATTTTCTCCTAGTTTTAGTACTTATACACATCTCATGCCATGCATTTAATGCTTTAGTGGATTTATTACAGCAGATGATTACATTTCTGAATTTTATATTCCTTTTCCAATTCTTGTGATACATAATGACTTCTTTTAGCTTATTCTGAGGGAAACTTACCTACGCAAGAATCTAAATTTTTATTTTTGAAAAAAAGGACATTTCTAGACATGATTCTAGAAGAAAAGCCTCAACACAAGATCCACATGTATTAGATAGGCTCAGAAACAAGCCTGGAATTTAAAAGAACCTCAAATTTATGGTAGTTTACACATTCCAGGAGTTTTGTGTCAATCAGATTGTTTTTAGTGTCTCACTCATGACTTTTGAGCACCTGGAGCTGACAATACTGGAACACAGATTTGCTGTAATAAACCATGGTAAAGCCCTCTCCCAAACTTTTATTTTCTAGGCAAACACCCAAAAAACAGTAATAAAATTAAACATGCTTCAGGAAAAAAGACCTCTACTGAGAAATGCTACAGCTATTTTAATTAATGAAATGCAGTGCATTGAGGGTATACTTTTAGTACTCCTACCTGCAGTATGGACACTGTCTGGGAGAAGTGGTGTTGTTCCATAGTTGAGGTGGAATAAAGAGCTGCCAGGGGATGATCAAATTTCTGAAGGTAGCTGTTGCTGTAACCCCTGTGATCCAGGTCATGACATAAGCAGGCAACTAGAAGACCTTTTCGCTAGAAGAAATATCAGTGCAAAGAGAGATAAAAAAAAAACCCCCAAGAATAAGTGATGCATTTTCTACCTGTAGGTGTCACTCTAATCTCTTCGAATGTTTTAGTTACGCTTCAATATTATAGGCTAGAAGTTTCTGATAAAAGATTGATATTAGTGTTGCAAAGTCAAGAACTCAAAAGTTAGGAAATGCTAGAATTAAAAGTATCTGGGCAAACTTAATTCAATTTCCTTATCGGTACAAATTATAATGCACTCTTTAATTACATGAATACACATTGTTAGTTGCAACTTACTTTGGGAATAAATTAAGGCTCTTACTTAATGAAGAAAACTGGTTTTCTGTAGGACCCCTGCCTCATTTGTTCAGCTATTAACATGGAATGCAGAGAGAGAGAATGATCTCATGATCAGGATGGCTGAACCATGCCTTGGAGAACTGGTTTCAACCCCTGGGTCCTGGCAGAGTTCCTATGTGATGCCTGGAAAGTCATTTACACCAACTTTCTTAAAGGTGGCACAAATTGTACTTTCTTTGTTTCACAGATACCAAATCCAAGACCCTAAAGTCTAATTTAAAAAACTGTAAGCACTCACACATGCAACAGTTATTCTAAAACCTGTACTTCAGTGTCCAATAGCAGTTTATATACTTAAATACCCTGGATGTCTCAAGCTGGGCATCCCAAACTAGCAGGTATTTCCCACTCTAATCTCTACTCCTCAATGGTAAAACAGAGTTAACACCACCCCCTTGCCAACAGGGCTGCTGTGAAAATACACTCATTAATGTTTGTGAAGTACTTACATGCTATAGTAATTAGTATCACAGGAATAGTGCACAGTGAATAAAGTCTAGGGCCTCACACTGAACAATGGGGAAAAAGCAAAATACTGAATAGCTGCTCATTAAGTGAGCATTGTCATTCTTGAGCACCACATGAGGCTTGGGTCATATATGATTCAGTTCTGGGGGTTTTTTTCCTATAATACAGACTGTACCATAAGGCACAAAGAGGTCAAATTAGGGATACAGGGACCATATTAAACTGGCACTTGATTTAAAAAAAATCAAATTGAAAAAAAGATTAATGTGGCATCACTCAGGGATCAGGAATGGAGTTTTCACCACTGTTACTTGAGCTAAGAGAGTAACTGAAAGAAGGAAGCTGTTAAAAGGGAATGAAACACTTCACCAGCGAGCGTCAAAGATATTTGCTGACAACAAAGAAGTGATGAGACTCAGGAATAGTGTTATATATTATGAGATCCTGAAATGAATATTCTAGTGGGCACAGCCTCACTAAGGTCACCAAGATTACCTTTTGTCACATCTCCCCAAACTATGTTTGTCCTGTTCGGTCTCCTCTCTCTCTCTGCCTCTTTAGCTTAATTTCATTCTCTTCACATAACTAGTTACCAAGTCTCCACTTCTCAGGTTTCTTATCCCAGTCTCAATCTCCTTGCCCAGTAAAAACTACTCTTACAGCTCCTCTGCACTTCTCCCTGTCCTTTCATTCTCAGTGCTCGTTTCTTTGCCCTGCCAGTCTCAGTTTCCCTCCACCTCAATTCTAGTGCCTAGTTCTAAACCCCCAGCCCAGATGAGCTATTTCAGGGAAGTCCAACTGTCCTTCTGAAACCCTGGGCTGGAGCATATCTTCTTGCTCTGTGGCTCTGGTGCCTGCACAGGTTAGTCAACACCAGAAGCTGAGAGGCTCAAGTACCTTTAGGGAGGAGATTTTAGCTGACAAGCTCTAGCAACCACTTTGCTGAACATGTATGAGTTACGACTTTTCAGAGGCTTGTAACTTTGTCAATTTTAGGTAGATTTTAAAGGGGATAGGAACAAGGTATATTCCTGACACCACCAAATTTCAAGTTTCATGTCTCTAAAGCATAATGGGGCCACATCTGTATAAAGAAAAGATCAAGAGATTCTCTCTCTCTCTCTCTTTCAAATTCAGTCCATTTTTTTCCTCATCTGGATATCAAAAAGGCCTAAACCAGCAGCCTGTAGCAGGCACTAACTAGGAAAATTATGATCTAAATGGTTCATGTCTAGAAAAGTTATAGGCAACTAAAGGATCTTGTAACTGTAAGTCTAATGATGTGTTCCCTACACTTACCTCCAGGTCTGTGAAAAGCCCTTGGTTGTTCTGAAGTATGGCATACATACAATGTGCAACTGTAATCGCATGCTTCCAGTTGTGATAGGGCACACGGCGATAGTTTTTCTTTACAGACATAGTAAAACGACACAGCTTTTCAAGTTCAAAGCTTAAGAGAAGAGAAATTGGTAAGAGAAAAGGAAACAATAAAAATATTTTTTAGTCACCAAACCCCCCCACCGTACCCTAACCTCCCCAGAAACAGCAACACTATTCTTCAACTGGGTCCTCTTCCTCATATCAGAAATATGAAACATTTAATTTCCAATAGGCCTAGTGCACACATGCCTGCTGTTCTTGTTCTTGTCTGTAATTATTAGTAAGGTAAATCTATCCAAGGAATTCTCAAGAGTTTATTTTTATAAAAAGATCCCCAAGTCTCATTTCTTTAAGTGAGCATCCATTAAAGCTGACTGAATGATGGATTATAAAAGCTGTATTGAGTCAAACTGAAAAAAGAATCTGTTGGTGAATCAAAAAGACAAGAAATAACATTTATCTCGGGTCAAACAGAACACTCCATTCAACACAAAACACATGGTTTAGGGCACATTTAATTTTTAATTATTTTAAGACAGAATTAAAGGAAATATCCAAACCAAAAGTTATTTTGAATAAAAAATTAAATATTTTATTGTAGAGGTCTCCTGAAATCATCAAGTTAACACATATTCACAAAATGTTATTTTTTTTCCTTCACGCAGTTATCCAAGAAAGTTACCCACAGTGACAAAGGAAGCGTATGTTTAGATCTAGAATTCAGCCCAAGACACCCAAGTCCAAATTCTGTGCTTTCCCCACAACACCAAAGAAACTAAGCTTCCTATATTATCTTTCACTCATGCTGAAATGTCTGGGTATTGTAATGTATGTCATATATATGATTACTGACTATGTGGTGAGTGCAGCAGTGCTAAGGAGGAAGATTTTAAGGATGAACTGGACATTTTAATCAGTAAGGCTGCTTTTGCTTTGTGTAAATTAATTATCCAACATCACCTGAGTGAACTGCCTTTGTCTTGATTGCTCTTTTATATAATGACAATATTACTGTTCTACTTTTAAAGCATACATGGCCTAAAAATCGAAGCTGATAGGCTCTTACCAATCATGTGTATATGTAAATACATTTACTTTATGAAAGCATTTAGACAAAAAAATTCCCATGGCTGCATGCTGAACAAGGCACTTATTACTGTATTTTCTCACATGTACCTTTCCCCACAAAATTAGTCTTCCAAACTTGGGTACATGGTATAAGCAGGAAAGCTGATTTTCTGCCCAAAATAGAAGCACCTCACTTTAAATCCTTTTGTACCCAAAGTTTTAAATCAACTGTCCTAGAACACCCTGACTTTTCTATTCATGCAGCTGAGGGAATCGATTGACTTAAGGGCTCATTGCTCTCCACTCCACAGGTATTAATGACTGTCGTGTTCCATTAATCAAGCTGTTTTTTGTTCTGGAAATTCTTCTGTCTGCTAGCTACTCCTGGTCTCTCTTCTCCCATTTCACAGCCCTACAGACAGTTTTAGCTCTTTTCAAATTCATAGCTCTGCCTGCAGAAACCAGTCTTCAGCAGCAGCTACAGTTTGAGCTTCTAGCAAGAAAGAGAGGGTGAGTGACTTGAAGATTAGTCTGTCTCTGCTCTATGAAGCCACAACTCCGGGGAAAAAAATTCTTCATTTTGACTTCTCAAAAACAAGGTA